TTCTTATTTTAATAGAAAAAAAAAAACTTTCTAATTTAATTTTCACAGAGTAAAAAATATGCTTATTAACTTATGTCAAATCTTTACAAATCAACCAAATAGGAATGTATGCAAAGATGGTTGGTTCTGAATAGATCTTAACATTTTCTTTCCTAGGAGATTTGGATCCTAAGAGAAAATTATAATTCTTATTAGTTTGATGATTAAAGTATAGGATTAAAATGAAGGAAAACAAAACAAAACAAAACAAAACCCAAGAGACCATTTACAGTCAGATGGAAGGTAAAAGATGCTTGATCTTCCTATTCTTTTTTTTTTTAAAGTCATATAACTGGAACAAAAAAAAAAAAAGGAAAGAGAAACTATAAAATGATGTGAACATAATTCTTATATAAAATAGAAATTATGTAAGAATAATGTATAAAATTATTCAGTTACTAGGAAATGTAGCTGAATTAAATGTAAACACTTTTACTTAGATTATTAGTTGTAAAAAGGCATAAAAGAAGTTTAAAAGAATCATAAGTTCCTTTGTGAATCTAGGTTCCATAGAAATGTTATCCTTTCTGTGTGTGTATGTGTGTGTGTAAAGAATGGAGAAAAAATTCTTACTTTACACAAGCATAAAAAAAATTATATGTACAAGAAATTCCCATAGCGTTATGACTTAAAATGAAAGTTTTTTCATGATAAAATCCAACAAGTCACAGTAATCATCTTTTCAAAACTTGTTCTCTCAAAAATAATTAGCTATATAAAAGTCCTCAAAGGAAGAAAAAAAATTATAGGGCCTAAATTCCTCTTCACATTTTTCTTATAAATTTTGGTCAAGTCTAGCTAATGTACTTAGACAATCCTATATAAAAGGAAAAATATAATGGAGATCCCCAAATTTCTGCTGGAAGTGTCCCACGAATTCAGCCACGTAAAGTTTGAGAGTACGCTTTCATAGAACATATATCCAAGAAGCAATCTAATAAGAACATTACTACTTGTGAAAAAGAGCCTTATTTTTAAAGGTTAATAGAAGCCTCAATTTAAAGACTGTTTCAAATGAATACTGGTCTAATTGTCTACTTTGTTGTTATTGCTAAATATAAATACTGCTAAAGACCATATTCTTGTTGTCTACAAACCCTTACATTCTAATAAATAATACCAGTAGAGTAATTTATAGGTTCCAGAGCTCTATAATACATGTTATCTTATTTGATCCTCACACAATGTCCACTGAGATTGGTGGGGACCAAAACTTACCCTAGCTTCATTTTACATTAAGAAATCGAGACTGAGAGAAATTAAATGACCAGTCCAAGAAACATCATAATAATGGGTCATTGAATTCCAGGCCCAGTGGAACTTTCCTTACACCAGATTAAGTCATTCAAATATGATACTATGTAAAATGTACCTTTGGCATGTTAAAAAGCAATGTAAATATTGCTATAACCAAATTTTGGCATATTAATGTTTTCTAAGCTCCAGTCAATGATCCATTACATTATCAAAAAAAAAAAAAAATTAAGTACTGCCCTTTATTTCTTGGGGTTATAGCCTAAACTGAGGTGGCATAATTTCAGATATTCCCACTGCTGACACAAAGAAACTAATGAGGTAGGTAAAATGAAGTAAATTTTTCCAATTCTCAGAATTTGCATAAATCTGCTTTAATGAGCAACAGGAAACGATTTATTTGAGTATTCATTCACCCAACTGGTACATAAAGATCTAACTTAGCAAGAGATTAACAGTCACCTAATTACTTTTTAAAAAATTTTATCCATCATTATTATTAATTTTTTAAAAATTTGCTACAGAGCACAGGTGCTCACTGGAGAGAGAGAGAGAAAGAGAGACTGCTAGCCATCAGGTGTAGGACTCGAACCACGGTTGGCCATGTGGGTGTCCAGCGCCTTAACCACCATGCCACCTGGTGGACCTTACCTAATTACTTTTTTTTTTTAAGAATTATTTTATTTAACTTTAGTTATTTATTTTAACTTGACCAGAAAGGGACAGAGCAAGAGAGAGTGAGTGAGAGAGAGAAGTGAGAAAGCAAACCAGTAGGTCTGGGACTCGAACCATGGTTAGCCATGTGGAAGTCCAGTGCTGTTTAACCACCATGCCACCTGCCAGCCCCTAATTACTTTTACGAATCACAGCTCACATTTAAAAAACAATTGTTACATGTTTATACATATATTTATTTCATTAAAATAGTAGTATGGGCTATTACTTTAGGAGAAATAAGCTTTATTTGCTATAATTTATGTATTTATTATATGCCATACAGTACTCTACTGAAGCAGAGGCTTTATTTCACTTACTTTAAATTTAGATCTTTGAAGTGTCTTCGAAGTGAGACTCACTATTAGGGTAAAAGCAAGTTGCGTGACATGTGCTGTTCGTTTATTTAAACATTTATTGAAAAGCTGACAATGTACTATGCCCTGTGCTAGCTGCTGAGTTATTAATCAACTGTTCTTTGATAGAAATGATCATTTTAAGCTTAATATGGTCTTGGATCTTTTGCCTAATTACTGAATAAAAGAATACTGGTGAAATCAAAGTACTTTTCAAAAATCTCCCGATAATATGTTAACATTTTAGAGAGAGACTGTTTTTTCAGTTGTCAACTAAACACATTAAACACTAAACATTATCATATGCCAATTTAAAACACGTTAAAGTAAAAACATATGGTAAGAAAACTGTCTGGACTTGTTCAAGTTGGTTTAATCTGGTTGAGACTTGAAATTGTTGTTTTACTATAGTTCTTCAATGGCCTTTTCCAAAAGAAAAAAACCTCTTGGGGTGCTATTTTATGACTAGCATGGCCCAAACTCAGTACTGTTACTTAAAACAATGGATTAACAATATCATGTAAATTTTGCAGAGCAAAATATTGACTGGATAGTAAGTGAAAGATTAATATAACATTCACACATATACAGTTTAATAGAGAGGATATAAATGAATATATAAAAAAATCTAGAAGTACAGAGTTAAGACTTTTCTAATGATGCTCACTTAACTGTCTATATTTGGCTCATTTGTACAAGGAAACCAATTAATACTTTGGCAGTTGATAATATAATGCAGATGGTGATGGGTGACAACATCTTTGAGCTCAAACTGGTACCTTCTATTTTAATTTCTTATTTTTGTTTGTGTTTGTTTTGATTCTCTCATGCTGTTCTCAGAAGAAATTCTCAGACAAAAGTTTCATGAATTATTGATTTATTTGTAAATGAGTTGTAAGTTTGGCCTTCAGAGAAAAGATTTACTAATTGTCAGCTATGAGGAAGTTCCGACCCAGCCTGTCTTGAATGCTAACTCCAGTTTCAAGGAGAAAAACAATGAAGCCAGAGGAAAAAACATCTTAGGCTAAATGTTCAAATATTATTTTAAGAATAAATAATAAAATTCATATATATATATATATGTGTGTGTGTGGCAAGTACATGCAACCTATGAAGAAAAAACTTCAAAAATAAAAAAGATACATACACTTTGGAAGAAACAACATGATATACAAATGAATTACTACTATAAGAAAATGGACTTCTACCTGATGAAAGCTTCTTTACCAGCATTTCATTTCTTGGTACTTTTTGTTTTAAGGGGTAAGAGAGAAAAGTACATATGAATTAAACATATGTCAAGAAATGTACCATAATAGTCTTCAAACAAATCTCTTAAATCCTCAATCATCTTAATCCCTTATATTTCACAATGCTTTACAGTTTTCAAAGAGTTTTTGTATTTTTTTTATTTGATCTTAAGTTTTTGAGGTAGGTAAATAGTAATTTATCTTCAATCTTCATTTACAAACAAGGGAACTGAGGCTCAGAGAGACAGAATTACAAAAGGTCAAAAACTAGCACATAGCAGAGCCAGGCTCCTACAGAGTCTCGAATATTTTTCCAAGTGTGATTCTTGGACTACATGTGGAAGAATCAGCTGTGGTATTTTTACCCATACAGGTTTTATAGTCCTACTGCCTTCAACTTACAGAATAAGAAAATCAAGAAAAAGGGCATTGAAGTTGGAATTTTATAATGGACAATAAAGTGGAAAAAAACTGTATATTAGGTAATGAAGTGAAAGCATAACACTGAATTCAGCTAGATCTTCACGTAATATAATACAGTGTCATCAGGTCATCACCAGGGACAAGCTAGTTTAAAACAGTGAATTTCAATCCTGGCTGCAGATTAGAATCAGCTAGAGAAACAAACAAACAAACAAACCAATGACCAGTACCCAGCTGAAGGAAAGGCAAGTGTGTGATATCAGTAGATTCCCCAAGAGATTCTTACCTGCAGTCAAGGTTGAGGACCACTTGTTTAGACATGCTTTTCTATATAACACATCTAGCATTTTCCAGAATTTTGCTTTTCCATTCTGATCAATTTCATGCCTAATAAAGTTCACAGTTCATATTGTAAATTATTTAAACATTACAAGATACAATGCCAAACATTTTAGACTAGATATTTTTAAGGTTAAAATATATTCACAAGACGAATCATGCTCCAGTTAGCTAAAATGATTTTCAAATACCCAAATTTAATCACCACTTTGACTTAGGTTATATATATTTCAGCTGTAAACAAGAATGATCCAGAAACTGGAAATAAGAATGTGGGACAAAAGCTGTGGTCTACTGGCCCCTGGACAATGCAAATGCAGACAATCAACTCACTATGGGAGGAGCCTGGATACCGAGGTCGGGTGGCTTTGGCAAAGTCACATCTCAGTGTCAAAAAATACAACGATGAATACAGAGAAAGTATTTTGCCGTTTGTAATTGTGGTTACCACAAACACCCTCATAATGTGTGATGCTTATCTAATTACATACCTCCACAGAGCAGATCTGAACAGGAAGTTCTCTATGAATCAATATTACTACATGGGAAAAGATGGCAACAAATTAAAATTTTTTCCATCATGCATATGGATAAGTTATAAAAACACAGCCAGTAAAAGTAATATTTACAAAAGTAAAAAAAAAAACAACACAATTATAGGAGGAAAAATGTCCCATCTCTGCTTTTTATTCCATTGCTAACCCAAACCCTAAATATCTCTGGATGAAGATAATTTTGATAGAATTTTGAGAGAACGTTTCATCCACTAATCAGATCCTTCTGTTGCACTTATATGCTATTAGCTAATACCCTTGCTGATATATCAAATTCTCCTACAGTTTAAAAACACAGTTCTTTTTTTCACTTAGTGGAAATAAAACTACAAAGTCTTACTGTTCATCTGAGAAATAAACCTTGCATAGAAAATTTCTTAAGTCTGAAATTTTATTAACAGAGCTACCAGAATTTTAACTCACAACTAGTTCGTATTATATGAAAGTTCACTACAAAGCAGTCACCACACATTTAGGATTTCTCTAAATATAAAATAAGCGCATTTATAAAAATGCTTACCAGACAAATAATTATCTCTTCGTAACCTAGAAAGAAGAATCATTTTTGTGATGATATGATTTTTTTAGTGTTTTGGATGCCCTTGATGTTCTGAGATTGATGCAATATAAAAAGCAAAAATTTATCTTTCCAATAAATATAATCTGCACCTGACCGAAAGCATGATAACAGGGAGTTACAGCAATCAGTAATGCAAAGGCAAAGAATAAAATCTGCTTTTCAAACAGCACAAGTTTTCCGCTTTAAACAAGACAAATTAAGCGCTGGTCCCATCCTCTTCAATGACCCGGTTCATGCTGGTGCCGTGTGTGATGTGAGTCATGGGATTATTACTGAGGTCTCGGATGCTGCTATGCCGAGACTGTTCATTGAGCCGATGCGAACTACTATGCCTGGAGTGATCCGTCAGTCGTGACATGCTGCCGTGAGGTAGTCTCTCCTCCATTCCTCTGTAGCTGCAGGGCGTGTACCTGACATAGGAGAGTTTATTTTAAAGTGGGTAACAGAATACACTAGAAATTAACATGTATTTATTTATTATTTTTCCTATATGGTACGTACAGCTGCCAAAGAGACAGAGGGGGGCAGTGTGAGAAATCACCCCCTGGGGAAATGGCCATGCTGCAATCCCTTCTCCTCTTGGAATCTTGGGCACCAGGCACACACGTACAGTGTGATTTTCAAGTCGCTGAGTCGGGGGCTCTAGTCACACAGTCAGCCATGTGGGAACCATCACTTTAACCTCCACACCACCTGCTGACCCCAGCACTTAGAAAGTTTTACTACTTTTATTAGGGACCAACAATTGGGAAGTAAGAACCTGAGGCTGTGTGGTGGCACAGTAACACAACCAGGCCCCTGGACACATGCACCTGTCCCCGATATGGATGTCTGCGGCTGGCACTGGATCGCGGCGGGGGAACCCTGTTAGGGACACCTGTAGCTCTTTTTCTTATGGAAGAAATAAACAAAACTTTAAAAAATGTAATAACAAATTTTTTATTTATGGTAACTTAATTAACATCACTAAATTATTGAAATAGGGGAGATAATCCTCTCAGGTTCAGAATTTAGGTCTTACTCTCCACAAAAGGACAAAAGCTCGCACTAAGCAATGCCACATTAAGTATGAGTACTTTCCTCAGGCAAAAGAGGTCCAGCAATGAGGTGGGTTCTGAAAGAGGTTCCATTGTTTCTTCTAAGAACAAGAGAAGAAATGTGGCATTGCCCCTGGGAATCTAGAAGACTGGTTACAGTCAGTAGCAGAACAAACTCAGATTTCACTAAAAGACTAGGTTTGGAAGAGGGGACATATGAAATTAATGGATAAATAAATGTAATCTTAAAAAACAAACAAACAAACAAACAAACAAACGAACGGATGAATTGGCCAGCAATGATGATAGTACGTGCTGACAGCATCTTTGCTGAAGGCCCAGTTAAGAGCTGAATTAACCACCTGGAAATAATCTTAATTACTTTCCATTAGGGCTTAAGGCTCTGAAGATGCTCTTTCATAGAAGCTGCATCTCCTGGGAAATTATCCCACTTACAACACTTTGTAACTTACTTTCCTGCCAAAGCCAATTCTCTATACTCCTAGCCTAAGACCCAGCTTTGGGTAGTCAGCTGGGCTGCATTGCTTGCTTACTGCAAGCTCCTTCACTACCGTCCTTACCTGGAAAGGTAGCAGTGGGAGCTGTTAAATTGTCTTTTGTTGCAATCCTGACTCACTAAACCCCATCAGAGGCAAGAATACATAAAACAAAATTCTCTGCCATGAAGAATGAGATTTTATTAGCTCTAGCCAGTCGAGGACAGGAAAATCAATTATAATTTTGTTTTATGAGTCTTTGGCTTATAGAGCTAATAATGTTATTTATCACTCTTTCTGGCTTTATAGCGAGCTCTTTCTTAGAGGGTAAGGACCATATCTTATTTATCTTTTGATCCTCAGTATCTCAAAAAATATTTGTCTAAGATATTTTCTGTTCATACTCAAACTAATATAGAAAGTATTTAATTCAAAATAATAAAGCTCGGGCCCAGCAGTTGGCGTAATGGCTATGTCACTGGACTCCCATGTAGTTTATCGTGGTTTGAGTCCCGGACCCAGCAGTTTAAACTCACGCTGGGAGTGTGTGTTTGCATGCCCAAGATCCCAAGAGGAGAATGGAGGGGAAGGGATCATGGCGTGGATATTCCCCCCCAATGGATCATGGGGGGGATATTCCCCCCCCCCAGGGGTTGATTTCTCGCTTTCTGTCTCTCTGTCTCTCTCTGTCTTTCTGGTGAGCGCACATACCCTATAGCAACAACAACAACAAAAAAATTAAATAAAAATTAAAAAAAAATTTTTAAATAAAGCTCAAAGAAAACTGAGTATAACTTATAATGTAAATATATTTTTAAGTAATATATCTAAAATAAGTTGAATTTTTAGTTTTTTTTTTTTTCTTTTCTTGAGACATTTTTGTTATAGAGTACATGTGCTTACCAGAAAGCAAGAAATCACCCCCTAGGAGGGATAGCCACACTGCAATCTCTTCTCCTCCACTCTCCTCTCTGGATTTTGGGCACATACACACATGCCCAGCATGAGATTTAAGACACTGGGTCTGGGACTTGAACTGTGGTCACCTATGTGGGAGTACAGCAATGTAACTAACCATTATGCCATTTACTGGTCCTGATTTTTTGGTATTTTTAGTTATCGTCAGAACCAGCAGATGGTGTGATAGTTATGTTGCTGGATTCCCACATAGTTAATTATGACCACGTAGTTGAGTCTCAGACCTGGCAACTTAAAACTGATTTTGGGCACATGTACATGCATGTGTGCCCAAAATCCTGAGAGGAAAATGGAGAAGGGATTGCAGCATGGCCATCTCCCTGGAGGGTGATTTCTTACTTTCTTTCTCTTTGTCTCTCCAGCGAATGCATGCACACTATAGGCAAAATCTCTATTTTTAAAAAAAAGTTATCATCACAAGCAGCTGAAGGGCTATTGGTTGTCAAAAAGCATTCATGTAACAACCTTCATAACAATAATTACAACAAAATTTATGATTTAATCTTTAAAACTTACATTTTATATTTAAATATAAGTGGCCAGAGTGGATGGCCATTGTCACAATCCCTTCTCCTCCAGTCTTCTCTAGAAATTTTGGGCATGCCCACATAAACGCCCAGTGTGAGTTTCAAACTGCCATGTCTGGGACTCAGACTGCGGTTGGCCATGTGGGAATCCAGCGACAGAACCATTACACCATCTGCTGGTCCCACCCCATGTGTTTTTCAAGCTGCGTAGTCAGCCACATGGGATCCAGCCACATTAATCACTATATCATCAGTTGGTCCAAAAGATGCATATTTAAATATTTTTAAATTTGTCATGTTAATGAATAAAATTATTTAATTCTTATTCGTTAAAAGACATTTCACAGGGGTCGGAAGGTAGTGTGTTGGTTAAGGGAGCTGGACTCCCACATAGCCGACCGCGGTTCGAGTCCCAGACCTGGCAGCTTGCTTTCTCACTTTCTCTCTCTTTTTCTGTCCCTCTCTGGTCAAATTAAAATAAATAAATAAAGTTAAATAAAATAATTATTAAAAAAAATAGAAGAAAACAGAAAGTTGAAAAAAAAAAAAGACATTTCACAGACTAGTGATTCTTAAAGTGGTTGGGCCCCACAAGGCCCACTGAGACATTTCACAGACTAGTGGTGGTTAAAGTGGTTGGGCCCCACAAGGCCCACTGTAAGGTTTGAGTCTAGACCCAGCAACTTGAAAAACATGCTGGATGCTCTCTGTGCTTGCCAAAAAAATCCCAGAAGAAGGGAGAAATGAAGCGACTGATGTTTTCTCACTTTTTCTCTCTCTGTCCCTCTCCAATGAGTGAATGCACCCTGTGGTAATTAAAACAAACAAACAAACAAAAAAAACCCTGTGTAATTTAATTCTAATAACTTTATCAGGTAAGTATTACTGTCCCTTAAATGATCTGAAATCAATATCTCACAAGAAACTGCTATAAGTATATTGAGTGGGGGAAAAAAAAGATACTCTACATTTAGGACTGAAATAGTTTTAAATCTGTACGGCATGTTTTGATAAAATAATCACGATATTTGGAGATAAAAACCTTTCACAATGTTATTTTAGTTTAATTATTATTTTACATAATGATCACTGTCCTAAAATGGAGTAGAAGATTTCCCCAACTTTTCCAATTTCCAAATGTGCCAGATGATTTGGAGATCTCTAGACTCTCAATGGCTTCTCAAGAACCTATTTTTAATAAATATGACAAATAAAAAGGGCAAATTAAGATGCACTGTTCTAGTAATTATATAAAAGCAAAATGAGAAACAAATCATTATTTAAAAATATAAACTGGGTATCTTCTAAAGTAAATTCTAACTCTTTGAGTTACACACTTAAAGAACTTATTTTTCATTACAAAAATTACTGGGCCAGCAGGTGGCATGGTGGTTGGAGTGCTGAACTCCCACATAGACAACAGTGGTTTGAATCCCAGACCTGGTGACTTGCTTTCTCACCTTCCCTCTCTCTGTCTCTCTCTGGTGATCAAGCATTCCCTGTAGCAAATTTAAAAATAATAATATTGATAAGTAAAATTAAATAAATAATACTTTTAAAAAATTACTATACTGGGGCCAGTAGGTGGTGTGGTGTAAGGGCACTGGATGACTGCAGTTCGAGTCCTGGACCTGGCAGCTTGCCTTCTTTCTCTCTCTTCTTTCTTGCTTTCTATCCTTCTCTGATGAAATTAAAATTAATTAATTAATTAATTCAATTTAATAATTCTTTAAAAAATTACTATATCAATTAATTATGTTCAATTATTTAAGTGACATATATGGCTATTCCTAAGAAATTCTTGATAAGTACAACTGCCTAAGGATATCAACTACAAAGAAAAATACATTTACTTATAGTGTTTAATCTCAACTGTGTATGTAGGAATTACCAAATTTATCTTTGTTACTTGAAAAAATAATCTGTCAGAAGGCGCATGTGCTCGCCAGAAGGAGAAAGAGAGAGGGAGAAAGACAGAGGGAAAACAAGAAAGCACCAAACCCCCTTCCACATGGAGCACACTCATGCCACAATACCATCTCTTTTTTTTCCCAACCTTTTGGGATTTTTGGCATGTACATACACACACCCAATGTGTTTCTCAAGTCAACAGGTCTGGGATTCAAACTGCACAATTGGCCACATGGGATCCAGTCACCTTAACCACCAGGTCACAGGTTACCCCCCAACTTTAGCTTTTTTAAAAGTTTATAAATTGGGGACCAGCAGGTGGTGTGGTGGTTAAGGTGCTGGACACTCATGTGGCCGACCACGGTTTGAGTCCTGGATCTGATGGCTTGCTTTCCCACTTTCCTTCTTCCCTTTCTCTCTGGTCAAACTAAAATAAATGAATGAATAAATAAAATTAATA